ACGGAGCTGCTCGGGGTGCGGGAAGCCCAAGCTTAGAAAAGGAAGAAAAGAGAGGAGAGAAATAGCATTCCTCTGCCGTTTTCCAGTTTGAAATGGGTAGAAAGCCCAACCTGGAGCACGGACGGGCGCGGTGCATCGTAGCGGGGCACTCGGGCTGCGCACCGGCGGAGCAGCGCGCCGCAAAGCGTGCCCGAAGCGTGGGCTGTGGCTCCGGCATCCCCGAGGCGGCTCGGGGCGGCTGCTGTGATCCTGGTAACAGCCGTAGTGAGAGCCGTGACGGTGGGAGCCACGTCCGCAAATCTGCAAGGGAGAGCTTTGCATGGGAACAGACTATGTCAGCCCCCCGTCTGCTGTGAGCGGTGTTTGGGATGAGCTGAAACAACTTCAGCTGCTTTACCCCACTGCTCTGGCGTTCCTTTTTATTTAGTTTATGGGCACGATTGGCTTTTCCCTCCATAATCAGCTTTCTTTTGCTGCATTCATTCAGTTATGCGCTAATCCAATGTTGGTAACATCTCAATTCATTAACGTAATGAATCAGAAGGAAGAGGCTGGTTATAAATCAGAAAGCTTCTATTTATGTGCAATAGCTTGGCAACTGACAGCACTGAGGAAGACGGTAGAAAGAGTAAGAGACAGATAATGGGACATGGTTACACGGTTGCAGCAGGGTTCAGGTGCTCTTTGTGTGATCCAAAACGCCTGCTTGCTTTACACGACAAACGTGCCCAATTCGGGACACATTCAGCTACTGCGGACTCGGTCCTTCCGAGCGGCTGTTAGCGCTTCGCTCCGTGGGATTTAGGGGCCGGGCTGTGCCTCCCGTGTGGGTACCGGGGCCGCTCGGTGGGGACGGGGCTCGGGGAAGGACCGGCAGAGGCGGGGCTGCGGTTGCTGCCCCACGGGTGACCGTGTGACCCTGCGCGGGCACGGCAAAGTGCTGAGTCCCTGCCCGCAGATCACTTCGAACGTTTCTCGCTGCCGCAGCGTCGGGCGAACACAGAAGACGGCAGAATCGCCGTAGTTGTAGGAAAAGTTTTGCGCTGTTTGGGATTTATCAGCTTGATTCTGAACTTCGGGCCCATTTTCTTTGCTCCCATCCTTACTGGGGACAATTAGGCATCCCCAGAACAAAACATGCTGTAAAGCAGTTCAAAGCAGATCTTACAGAACGCTCTCTCAGTACCTACACGTGTTTCCCCAGCCACAGGTGCAGAAGAGAGTAGAGGGAATCGCAGCTGTTTGGTTTCTCTTTTTTTATTCCTACTTAAGGACACGTGCTGGGTTCACCTTTCCGTGATTAAATCAGTTAAGCACGTGTGAGCCATAAGCATGCGAATGGGAGTAATACCCGGGCAGGGTTTATCACCTGGAGAATCAGAGCGAATAGCAGCAGCAGCTAAGGGGGTAAGTGAGGGGCTTTTCTCTTTATGAAATGAGTCTGTGGTGGTACTTTGCCTGTGGGGTGGCTTCACCCCAAGTAACTAGATCGAGCAGATGAATGACACGAGGTAAAACCAGCCGCAGTGTGAGATCTGCTACGCGGGTCGGGAGCCCTCGGGAGAGGGCGTGGGGTGAGCGTGTCACTCCCAGCCTGTCCTCACTGCCGCGGTGTTCGTGGCGCTGTGCCTGTGGAGTTCCAGAGCCTACCTATCCCTCCCCCCGGAGAAAAGGGGGGTAGCTGAAGTCCTCGAGGTGCAAATCTGAAGAGAGAGAGAAAGATGTTAAGGAGCGGGTTCTGAGCACGCCGTCGGGGAAAGCGGTGCCCTGGGAGGTGGTGGGGACCCTCGTGGTTGACACGCGGGAGTCGCTCTCTCGAAGCTCCGCCGTCTTACTTAAAAATGGTAGAAATGCTGCTCCGTGCGGCTTAAAGCAGGAGGGCAGAGCTCGGCCGGCACCTGGGCGCCCGCAGGGATCGGCAGGCTGGGCAAGGCATGTGTCAATTCAGCCGTCGTGTTGACTTAAGCGAAAGCGCTAAGCCATTCCTAAACCTAAGTCAATACAGACTTAAGCCAAAATTGTTATTAACGAGCTCTAATCTGATTTAAGAGCCTCCGAACGAACCGTGTCTACACGGGAGGAGAAGAGGCGCGGGGCCCCCGGGTGCTTCGGGGATACCGGCACCCTCGGGAAGGACCGGGACAGCATCCCGCACAGTGCCCGGCCCGGCCAGGCTGCGAGAGCAGCGCTTCGGCCGTGGCGAGTCTGCCCGGGCTGTGCCGAAGCCTGGCTGTGCCGAGGTCGGGCAGCCCCTCTCGCTGGGACATGGATGTGCCAGAGCGGTTTTTTTTTTTTTTCCTGTCCCGATGGGGCAGTTGAGCCCTCCACTCCACCCCCCAGTGGGGGCCTTTCTTTTCTTCACCACCAGCTTTGAGCAGCCCTGTTTCAGATTGGCCTTTTTATGTTTGATATAAAGAATAGTTGTTGGCCAATTCCATCTTTTCATCGCTGCTCTCCAGGCCCGGGTCCAAGCGGCTTGTCAGATGCTCATTAACTCCCCCTTTGGCTCTTTCCAGTGTGTCTCCTAAGCTCATTGTGCCAAGAACTAGCGCTTCTTTCTCTTTACACGGCTCCCTTTCTCTGCTCCATCAGGGAGACAAATTACTTTCCAAAAGGGATCGCCAGGGATGGTTTAATGAGAATTTCTCTAGGGCTGGCCGTGGAAATCAATGTAGTTAACATTCGGTGCACTTAATTGGACTTTTCTCTTCTGCCTCCTTCAAAAAAACTCTGAAGCTATCCTGTTAATCTCTCATTTGTAATCAATTGTGTTGACTAAACAAAAGTCTAGGTCGTCCTTTCTTCCTGTCCCAGACAATCCTTTGTTGCCTCTAAATGCCTCATTCTTGAGTGCTCCTGGTCTTGTAGATGGGTTCGATTGTTGACAGTTCATTATTGCGCTTTTGTCCATTTAATCTCCCTCGCTGTGTTTTGCATGTGCATGCCTTAATGAGCTCCGTTGGCAATTAACATGTTTCTAGCAGCAAACTGGTTGCTCAGACGTTTGGAGAGCGGAGTGCAGGGAAAAGGGCAACGCGGCTGCCTTTGGCTCGGGCGCTTCCCGGTGCCCGACGCGACGCACCCGGCTCGGGAGTCCGCTTTGGGCCGGGCCGGGCCGGGCCGAGAGGGAGACCCGGCAGCTCCTCGTGCCGTTCCCCGCCCGGAGGCACTTCTAACCCTCCCCCCCGAGGCACCGGCACCGCTCAATCTGTTGTGTGCGCGGCTGCGGCGTCGGGAGAAGGGGTTGTGTGCGGGTTTTGTGTTACCATTGAGGCTTGCTGGCAAGAGCGCTGAAGTGTGAGCAGTCGTGGACAGCAGAAACATCTTGTGAGGGAGAAGATAATTGGAGTCTCTGGCGTGTGTGCGTCTGACAGAGCCGCCCCTCCCCCGCCACCCGCCGCCTGTGTGTGCCGGGATGGGGGCGAGAGCCCGGCCGGGGGCGGGCAGCGCTCCCGGGGCTCCGATCCTCGCCATCCGTTTCTCGGTGCGGCCGGAGCGAGGACGGTCTGGGATCGCTGCCCGCCGCCCCCGGAGGGACAAAGTGACAAAACCCGTCCAGGGGCGGCCGGCGCGGCCCTCCGAGGTGTCCCGAGGACGTTCCGAGCCGCGACGAGGCCGCCGCTGCCCCTCCGCCAGCTCTACGGACAGCGCTGCGTGTCAGCAGAACGAGAAAAGAGCTCTTCTGCAGCTCCCTGCTGGGAGCGGCTCTTGCCCTGCCTCACCCACCGGGCTGCGGGAAGGGCTCGGGGCCGAGCCCAGTTCTGGCTGTCGACGCCCCCCCGGCCCCGAGGTGCACTTCCCCGGCAGCGGCGGCAGGACCGGCTCAGAGCTGCGGGATTCCCGGCCTCGTCCCGCCGTGGTTTTTCGTCCTGCCGCATTTCCGGGGCCCCCCTCGCCGATCCCGTCCCGTCTGGCTGCCGGGGCCGGGCTCGCTTTGCAGCCGCGATCCGCTTGCGAGAGGTTGAGCTACAGCCCCTTCGCTTGGGGGCGGATTCCCTCTCTCCTAAGGTTTCCAAAAGCGATGACTTGTAGCTGGGATTCCAATTATTATTATTAATTTCTTTTTAACCCGAAACTCTCCCAAAAAGTCTTTTAAAACAAATTCTCCCCCGATCTTTTCCCCGCTACCAGCATCAGTGCGCATCACTCTCCACGCCTCAACCGCTCCAAACCATCAAAGCGATCGTTTTGGCATCGAAAAAACCCCAAAACTCAAGTGAGGAGGAGCTCAGCCCCGGGGGCTCAGAGCACCGCTCCCGGCACCGCATCCCGCAAAGGCGCAGCATGGGGTCGCCTCCCGGCCCCTCTCTCGGCGCAGAGCTGTGCTCGCCTTCGCCTCCCTCCGTTTAATCGCTCCATTAAGCGGGGAAAGGTGAACTCCCCATCGCGGCGTCCCCAGGCATTCGGGTGTCGCGCTCGTTCCCCGCTTCATTGGCGAGCCCGGCCCGAGCAGCACGCAGAGATCAGCCTCGTTTCTCCGCTAGAATAATATTGTTCCTAACGACGTGGCCGGAATAGACACTCGCATATTAAAAGTAGGGAAAGGGGGGAGCTGAGAAGGGAATATTTAGTGTAATCCAAGTGCTTGATTATCCGTATTCTGATCAAAAAGAGTTTCTGAGGCCTGCTGGGAGTGATTAGATTAATGTAATGCGGTTTGAAGGGTCTGTGTTTTCTCTCTTAATTTGGGTCATTACTCGGAAAGCGAGCGTGAGATCACTTCATCTGCATGCGGGGAGCGGCACCGAGGAGCGGACGAACAGCTCCGAACGAGAGCGGCCCCGGGAAGCTGCAGGCGCCCTCCGAGCCCCTCTCCTGGGGGCGGCTCGGCCCGGCCCTCTGCGGCCCTCACTCGGGCTCCTCCGGGCCCCGCGCACGGCATCCCCCACGGGGCCGGGCTCTGGGCCGGAATGGGAAATGAAACACCTACGAAGGGCCGGTTTATTGTCCCATGATAGATTATATATATATATATATAATATATATATTCCTCACTTATTCGAGCGTACATTTAAAATGGAGATTTACAGACACGTATAAAGAGCGCTGTCCTGGCGGGGGGGAGGCAGCCGGCCCAGCCCCTCTTGGCCCGCAGCGCCGTTAAATAGGATTCCTCTTATATACAGCTGCAGCTCGAGGTCGCTTGCTACCGGCGGCTGAGCTCGCTGGGGAAAAGACAGAGAAGCGAAGGCTGCAGTTGGGATGGGTAGCGGCGGTCCGGGAGCTGTGCTGGCCCTTGGCTGTGCCGGCCCTTAGCTCTGCCCGCTGCGCGTTGGATCCCGGGGTGGAGGCGGAGGAGCGCTGGAGACGCTGTCGTGCAACTTTCGGACGTGCTTCTTTAAATCAAAGTTTCTGCAAAATCCTTTGCCGCAAGTGACGCACGTGAAGGGCTTCTTGTCGTTGTGGGTGTGCATGTGGAAAGTCAAGTTATAGATCTGGTGGAAGGCTTTGTTGCAAATGGTGCACTTGTACTGCTTCTCTCCGCTGTGGGTCAGCTTGTGGTTCTTGTAGTTGCCTGCGAGGGAGGAGGAAGGTGGGAAAGGGGTTACCGAGGGCACCAGGTGAAGGGGGCAGGAAGCGAACCCCCGCGCCCCGTCCCGCTGTCAGAGCTGCTCCGCGTCATCGCCGGGGCACAAATGAGGGCAGGGTCAGCCCGGTGACCCGCGGCAAATGGAGAGCGCCCGGGATTAGACCCGCGGCCCCGCACCTCTCATTTAAAAAGCATTTCGGGAGCCCCGGCAGCGGTCCCCGTGCTATGGCCCGGCTTAGGACTGTAATTGGGAGAGGTGGCGGCGGCTCGGCCCCGCACCCCCCGTTCCCGCAGCCGGGCAGGGCCCGCTAGATCCCCGCGCTAATAGTGACGGAACCTCCCCGACCCGATCTGGCCCCGCTCACCTTTCTGGTGGAAGCCCTTGCCGCAGAACTCGCAGACGAAGGGTTTGTAGCCGGCGTGGATGCGGATGTGGGTGTTGAGCGTGGAGCTCCTGTTGAACGCCTTCCCACACTGGTTGCACTTGTGGGGCTTCTCCTGCGCGGGGAGGGGGGGGGCACGGGAGGGGACGAGAGGCCAGTTAGGGGCTGTGGGGAGAAGCCGTCCCCTACCCCATTCCGCCCCTCACCTCCCCACCTACCTGCGTGTGGATGATTTTGTGCCGGCACAGGGTGCTGGCTTGGCGGAAGCCCTTCCCGCAGACCTTGCACACGAACGGCCGAGCCCCCGTGTGCACCGGCATGTGCCGGGTGAGGTTGTAGTGCGCGTTGAACACCTGCGGGGAAGCAGCGGTGAGACGCGGCGGGCCGCTTCCGCACGCTCCGGCCCCTCCCGCCCCCCCCCCCCGTTCCCCTTACCTTGCCGCACACCTCGCAGGTGAAGTTCTTGGGTTTGCCCTCCGCCGTTCCGCCGCCGCCCCCCCCCCAGCTTGGCGTGGCCCTTGGGGGGGCCGCCGCGTTCCGCCGCCGCCGCCTCCTTCATCACCTGGTCCAGGTGGCCCGGCAGCCGCTCCTTGTGCGCGAAGGGCGGCGGCGGGGGCAGCTTCTCGGCCGCCAACCCCGCCAGCTTGGCGTTCTCCAGCAGGAAAAGCTTCTGGTGAGCCGAGAGCCCCCCCGGCGGCGGGGGGCCCAGCAGGCCGGCGGGGAAGAGCTGTCCGTGCAGCAGGTCGGCCGGGTGGTAGGCGGCATCCAGGTAGTTGAAGTAATAGAGGGAGCGGGGGGCTGCCGGCACGGCCCCCGCTTGGTGGATGACCTGCGGCTTGATGAGCCGCCCGCTGGGCTGACCCAGGGCGAGCTCTGCCTTGCAGCAGACGCCGCAGTTGGCTTTGCAGAGCCCCCCGGCGCCCCGCAGGCCGCTCTTCCACAGCTCCGAGTAGTTGAGGAGAGTCTTGGAGGGCACCTCGTAGCCCAGCGGAGGGATAGGGATCACGCAGGGCAGCGGCGAGCACAGGCTGAGCGACTTCTTGCCCGCCTCCGGCTCCGGCCCCGGGCCGCCGTGCCTCTGCTCGAAGGCTGCTTTGGGCTCCGACGTCTTTGCCATGATGCGCTCGATGGAGAAGGCCAGGCTCTTAGACGGGTTAGCGGCGGCGGCCCGGCCGTCGTGCCGGGGGCAGGGGGAAGGCATGACCGTCTCCAGCGACCCCGAGCTCGCCATGGCTTTGCGCCGTGCGGGAACTTGGGCTGAGCGGCCGCTCGCTCCTGCGCTCGGCTCTGCATTCCAGAAAAGCCAGGAGACAAATCAATTTAATAAGCACCTTGTTCTCTTT